TCAATATATAGGGTCGAATGTGAGGCTGGAGGGTGTGTGCGGTTGGGTGTGCGGCTGGCTGGCCGCACACGCGAGTGTGTGGCTGCACACACCTCCTTGGGTGTGTTTGGCCCGATTTCTTAATGCTACAAACTTTGTAATCCATCCTTAGACTCATATCTAGGTTATATTAAGTCTAGAGCACTCATATAAACTCGAACACGTGTTAGAAGATAGCAAAAACGAGGGCTAACTTGGATAATAATGAAAAACGTGCAAGATAGAAATTTCGGGTTGTCACATATGGGATTAGGGTTGGACGAAAATCACTCCATCCCACATGAGAAAGGATTGAAATTGTGTGGTTATGCCTCCATCCCACATGGGAAGGAGTACTAAACCCTAGGAGGCATCCAATGCTAAAAATAGGGCCTTAGGGATTTCATTCCTCCTTGCACCTTGGCTTGAAGTATTCGCCAACCCTTCTTCCTCCTCCCATAGGGACGAGTTCTAACCGTCTTTGGGTTTGGGAAATTGGCCCTTCTCCTAGTTATTTTATTCTACACTTTGGTTTCATTGGGTGTGATACCATTATAGGGATTCTGGTTTGGGTCCTTTCATCCAAGCAACTTCATGGAGGTTCGAGATCTTAAGCATGGAGATCAAGGGCAACATATGAGGTATGTTTTCTTTTGTTTCTAGTTTTCTAGGGTTGATGTAATTAGCATGAAGCCATAGATCCATAGGATGCATCTACACTTAGGTATATCACAGTTTCGATTATTCCGCTACCTAGTTTAGAGTGTATTTGATTCGTAGAAAACCCAACAGAAACTATATTGGAAGATCATTCAACCAGTGATTCTCATCAATTCTAGTAATTTTCAGAAACGATTACTTCTTCCCAAGGTTTATTTGTTTGATATTTTGATAATCATTACGTTACATTTGTTGGATGATTTTAAGTTTGTTTATGAATTCTACTATGCATTTCAATAATTTCATTCAAGTTATTGTTTATATTAATTCAATGGAAGGCTAAATCATTAGGGTTACTTCCGGGGATGTTTAGGACTTTTGGATGAGCACACTTGATTATTACTTGGTTTTAGTTAATTTCAATTGTTCATTTATGTTTCATATGATAATCTTTTGGTAATAAGGATTGAAATTGGGTTGTCTGAATTTGTTTGATTTCATAATTAAAATAGTGCATTGTCAATTCACTGATTGTTCCAAGTTCAAGTAGTTTAGGAACAAACAAAGACAATTGGTTGAATCCACATGTGTTATTCCAACTTGTGATATTAAATATTAATATTGTAATAGATAGTTACAAGACACTTTATTGCCAATTCACTCATTGTTCTTAATTAAAATAGACATAGGGAGTAAGACAACTAGTTGAATGAACATATTGTGTACCCAAAATTATGTGTTGTAAGATCATAAACCCCAATTACATCTAAGTAATTGAACTAGGATTTTAGGGAAGAAAGTGTGTGAATCTGAAATGTTCGACAACTGAATCGGGAGTACCTCACTTTTCTCATTTAAAGTTTTATTTTAACTTAATAAAGTTTTAAGTTCTTTTGGTTAATCTTTGTTTAAACCTTTTCGTCAAAATTATAAGTAATCTATTTTCCATTGAATATTTGATACATAGTTTGACCACGAACTCCTTCTGGATTCGACTCGACTTACCTTATCTATGTAGGTTAGTTGGTTTATTTTTGATTGAGACAACGACCTCGATCACCTAGGGTAATCTACGACCCACTCTCTGCCATCAGCTGCGTGAGAAGTCCCTACGACCTTTCCCTAACTAGCTTACGAATACCATTACATATTACTGAGACCAGATAATTCTTCGAATGAGAGGTCTCTCCCTACAATGGCTGGACTCAGACAAGAGTAGCGAAATAGAGCTAAACCTAACCTTCTGAAATTATTCAGTCCTTATAATATGTAACTTAGCGTATTCGTTCACTAGTTAGTTAAAGATGACTAGAACTCCTAAAAGCACAAAGCAAGCAACATTCGAGCATTGACTAACCAAAACCAAGCATATCCTAATCAGGCCATTATATTACTATTATATTACTGACTAATCAATACTAGCATGCAGTTTAATAAGCACATACAATAGGAATATAAGGCGTCCTTCCTAAATCCTTGCCCCTAATCTAACATGTAGTTCACATATTCAAAATTTATATAATAACATAACATGTATAGGTATCTTGGGGAAAACTTACTTAAGCTCGGCTGATTGCACGCATCACATCCCTTGTTCTTCATCAAAACCCTTAATTTTAATTTTAGCAAAATTATTTTTCTTGTAAAAATATTTCAAAACCCTAGATTTGAGTCAAGACACACCCAAGAGTGTGTCCGAATCCCTCAAACTAGGGCTCTGATACCAACTTGTAACATCCCAAAAATTAAGACTAAAAATTTCATTTTTTAATCAAGTAGTTTATGAAAAGAAATAATCTGAAAACATAATCCAAATCATACTCAAACCAAGTGTCACAAAAACCATATCATGTCATAAAACAATCTCAGAGTACAATCCCCTAGGATCTCATAAAGCGGAAATCGTAGTGTGATGCGCTACGATCATGTTGGCTCCTTTCCTCTCGAAGAAGAAGTAACTAAAACCAAAACTGAATAAGCACAAACCTTAGTGAGTTCCCCCATCATAACACATATCCAAATACTGTCAGGCATATCTGGGTGCCCGAACTACCCCTTCAGTGTAATCCGACCTAATACTGCTGACCATATCCGGGTGCTCGACCTACCCTGTCAGACATATCTGGGTGCTTGACCTACCTTCCGGTTTATTTCAACTGACTACGGGGCCTATTTCACCCCTACTACTACCACATAATCATATTGTCAGGCATATATGGGTTCCCGACATACCCTATCAGACATATCTAGGTGTCTGACCTACCCTCCGGTTTATCCCAACCGGCTACGGGGTCTATTTCACCCCTAACACTATCACATAATATCGTAGCATACTGGCACATAATCATATCAAATAGTGGCTTACCAGAAAATTAACACAAAGACAATCATCTAATTACAAAGTCCTACTAGTGGGTCTCCCTTGGTGCCTTAGACCCACTACTACTAGGAAGGTAACGCACCTCGGATACTGAAAATAGATGAACAGTCCCCGACTCCAAATATCAACACAGCTCAATCCCCTATAAAAGATTTCCTTTAATACTATTTCATATTCATAACCCCTTAAAGGCCCACCTTTGGTCAAAGCTCAAAGTCAAAGTCAACACCCAGGTCAAAGTCAAAGTCAACACTCCGAGTTCTCAAGTCGACGAGTTTCCATAATTCACATAATCGCGATATCCCGAGTCAACTCATCGAGTTTTCCCCCAACTCGGGGAGTTCTTCCTTTTCTACAGAATCGAGACATTTCAAATCAACTCGTCAAGTTCCTCCATGAACTCGTCGAGTTCCTCAGTCTATTTGTCCTTTCTTAATACATTAAGTCACTACTCTTCAAACCAAGGCCCTATCTTCTGGATCCAACCTGGAAGTATGTCTAGAAGGGTAAAGTTTCCAACTTTACCCATTAAAAACCTCTCCCCAAGGCATAAACTCAAATCCTTAACCTAAAATGGCTTAGATCCGAATCCAAAGGCCATCAAAACTTCAAGATAAACCATGAGTGATAGATCTGGACTCTAGGGATAATTTTATCACGTAAAGCTCCCATTTTTACTCACATTTAAGACCTAATAGGGCTTAAAAGACCAAAAAGATGGTCTAAATATTGCATGGGACTTTCATGGCCATAAAGTTGGCACCTTTATGCCACGAAGGCACGAAGTCCCCTAAAGACCCTACATCTAAAGGGTTTGCCCAAGAAGAACGTAAAATCCAACCATCTATGTACTTAGACCAAAACATCCTAAGACTAGATCTAAGCATGCCATGGACAAGGTTGAAGCTTTATACCTTAGATGAATCCAAAATGAAACTTAACTTCTGGATATACTCTCCTCCGACACGTTCTTGCTCCTCCTTCAAATTCATACAGAATGCACAAGATTAGCTCACAGTCACCAAAAATGGCTTAGGGTTTCGAGATTAGGGTTTTGGACAGTGGAGGCTGGAGATGAGGCCAACACCCTTGGGGTTAAGGTGTTTAAATAGGGTGCAAAACCCCGAGATTAGGGTTTCATCTCTACCAGCCTACTCGTTGAGTTGAGGCTACCAACTTGTCGAGTAGGTTTCTCAAAACCCGCGATCCAAGAAATCTCTACTCTAAGAGTTTGGGGCTGCCAACTTGTCGAGTTGCTCTATGATATTGAATAAATTAGGATTTTAAATACATACTAGGATCCAGACGTTACATGTTTCTTTTAAACAATATTATTTCTCATGCTTACAAAGAATGTTGTAAAACTTATATTATGGTGTTTCTTTGTTGGTAACTCACTTACAGATGATATATAATACATATTATTAATTATGAATAACTTTTATTACATACTCATATTAATGTATGAATAAGTTATGGCTACCCCAAGTAGTTTAGATACAATATTTTTGTCATTGTCATTTAGTACAAATGAGCTTAAATGATATAGTATTGTCATATAGCTACGAAGCATAATAATGACTTTCCAAGTCAATCTTCCTTTTCAAGTATTAAGAATATGTGATTTTATTCATACACCTTTAAGAATATGATGATTCTATTCATACACCCTCGTTAATAAATTCAGAGTTATAGACCCTTGTTTAATTTTTTAATATCTATTTTACTAAACATACTCCTAATTACTTATGGTATACTCTTGAGTTGATATTTTTGTAAAATCCAAAGGGTGTACGAATGCTACTAGTCTACCACCTAAGCATATTGAGAATATTTCACACATTTCATCAAACAGTTGAAGTTCATGTAAAATTACAAATATATTGAAACGATAAATCATACCTAGATAAACTAAAATGGTTTTGATTTTTACAAAGAAAAGATGTTAAGCTTCAAAAATTTCAATAATAGGAACAAAAAACTTCAACAATTCAACAACTTCAAAGAACAACTTCAAGTGGGATTATTCGTACCGGAAAAAGCGAATGAAGCCCTACGCTTTATAAAAATGATTTGTTATTTTAGTGATATTGTGGCTGATATCTTTTGCGATTTGGGTGGAAATGATTGTTGGAGTTCGGTAATGGGAAGACATTCTTCTGATGTTTAGAGTGATCATGACTACGCTTCCGATTTTGATGGGGAGAGGGTAAATCTCATTTTGTTTCATTACTTTTCCTCCTTGAAAGAAAAATGCCTACTTTGCCCTCAACTGATAGATTACAAACCCAGAAAATCACAAGAAAATAATCATTCGATCCGAATTCTAACCTCATCAATAACATAATTGCTCAAAATAATCTTAGATTAGGAATGAGTACAACCAAATTACAAGAAATCAGCAGAGAATCGAGCCAAGGGCCCAACCATAACACATTCGATTTTTATAAAGCATTGAGATGTTTTCTATTATGCATCAAAATTTCATCTTCATCGAGGATTTCTAAAGCAAAGGGTTGGAATCGGCGTTGCAACTTTGCAAGGTTAAAAATTCCTTACATTCTAATTTTACATTATTCTTAATCATTGCCCTCTAATTGATGGTTTCTGTTAATGTCGATTTGTTGCTACTTCCTGATGATGAAGTGATTTTGTGTATGGTGATTTGTTTTTGCATATCTTATTAATGATTTCTGTGTAACAGAGGACTTCAATTTTTCTTAACAATATCCTTAACATCCTCTCTGAAGATTGAAGTCATGACCATATTTTATGGTCGTTGAGCTTGGACAAATCTCACACTTCCCTTATTGAAATCATCTTTAAATTACTGAACACTATCAACAAAAAAATGTCCAACTTTAATTTTAAGTTTTAATTGTTTCCTTTTGAGAGCATGTCTAGTTGTGCCTTTCAAAGGTGATGATTGTGATGTGTATGATAAATAAAACATGGTTTGGACATGCTTAAGCTTGAAGTTGTAATAATTACCATTGAAGGTGTTGAGTTTTGTTTGGCAAACAATCATTATTCTGTTTAGTTTCATATGGCAGATGGATGTTTGTTTGTTATTGTACGTAAACTATATTTACAGAAGTGCTCAACAAAGCATTAGAGTAATGCATTTTGTTCATTAATATATATAAACATAAATGGGAAATTATGTTCACAATCTAATTGTGTTGGTTTAGTTTAGAGGTATGTATTTCTTGTAAAGAAATGAAGTGTTGTGTTGCTCCTTAAAGTACTAGGAGAATAAGAGTGCAAGACATGCAACAGTGGAAAAGGGAAGAACCGGATATTTGTGAAGTGCTTTTAGGAACTGAAGAGTTATTAAAAGGATGGTGGAGCCTTTACTTAAAGTTTAGAGAAAATTGTAAATGGTCGGATGATGTATATATAAAAAAAGGCTTAAGAAATAAGAAAAATGTAAAATTTCAATCGCATCTTTATGTTTCGGTTAGATTTTCCAAAGTATAATGTTGTGATACAAAGAAATAAAAGTGTGATGCTATTATAAATCAATATTTGAAAGTATGTTGTTATTTTTACATTTAACCGTTTATAAGATTATAGTCTAGCTTATAAGGTTTAAAGGACCACTTATGGACTTACTCATAACTAGTTTCCCCTTCCCACCAAAACTATACCACTTCCCTTATCTAGCTAACCATAAAAATTAAGGATTTACTTCTAAATTTGAAAAAAATTCCAAGCCAAGTCACCTATTGCCCATCCTCAACAACTCAATCAATCAATGGTATTGAAGACATTTTAAGATGTTTGGCAAGTCATTAAACATAGTTCTTGAACTGTGAATTGAAGCATTGCAATTTTCTTGGACAATCACACGAAAACTACACCACTTTCTACTTGGGAAAGTTGAAGGATATAACAACGTACTTTACTTTTTTTTTTTTTTTTTTTTTTTTACTACCAATAACAATGTACTTATATTTCATTACAATGTACTAAGGCCAATCGTTTTCAAAATGTACAATGTACTACAAGAGCTTTGACTTTTTAAATAAAAAAACCACATACGTATATTACTAGGGAAAAATGCTGAAATAAGAGCTTTGACTTTTTAAATAAAAAAACCACATACACACATTGCTAGTAACTAAATATGTTAAAAAAAAAAAAGAAATTACAATGCACTTCGTATACACTAAACACAGTTACGACAAATCTAAGGAAATTTAGCAATAGCAATTCAAAATATTATAAATTAAAGTCAAAGTACATTGCTATTAACTAAATATGTTAAAACCAAGAGTTATGAGCACATATGTCAAATTAATAGCAATATAATATTGATAGTTAAAAATACTGAAGGGTAAATGGTAATATTCAATCATCAACTACCATGCAATCTAAACAATCTCAGAAAAATTTAATTACGTAAGATACACATACATACATACATACAATTAATCAAAAGTCATTGTGCTTTTCTCATGGGAATTTTATCAAACATGTAGAGTGCAACATCAAATGCAAGGTTAAAAAGACAAAAGTAAAAGTTTGAAAACTAATACTAACATTTATAATCAAGATCATTCATGCATTCAAAGATCACATGCATTCAAAGATCACAGACAAAATACAACACTATTGAGAATAAAAAAATCGAATACAATTAATAAAAATTAAGAACATCATATTAAAAAAGGAATCTGGATGACGAACGTGATGCTGTAAAGGATGATGTTGTTCGAACGTGATACTGCAAAGGGTCTAAAGAAAAAATAATGTACGAACAACAACACATGATTTATACATAACTTTCAACAATGATTATGAAAAATATATCAATTTTTGCATTCTTTGATTCTTTAAAATTGAGCGACAATATCCCGTAATCTTGTAGATACGTTTCATATAATAGATGTGAATTGATAGAATATACGAAAGGTGACAGCTAAGAACGTGATTTTAATTAGGAATGAACAAAATTAACTTTCAAATATTATAATGAGGTTTTAATGATTTGAATACGTTCCGATTATAAATGACGTTAACATTAACTAACTTTCAAATTTAATCAATATTAATTCAATTTAATTTAATTTTAAGATGACATCAAAATAAAATAAAGGTGAAGAATTTCCCGTATACCCATGTGAACACAATGTCCCAAGATTCTTCGTTTCCTTTCCCAGGACCCATCCCCCAATTCTTTCTCTTTCTCCAATTTCATCTCTTCTCTCGTCGCGTTTATTCCCTGCTATTTATTGAATAAGGCACTTTCTTCGTCATTCGTTTCTTTTTTATTAGGGTTCCTTACAAAATATCACTGTTATTGCTCTTTTTCATCTAATTCAAACTAAAGTGTAAACCTTTTGTGGCAGCATTTCAGATAACCCAGCAGCTTGTGGTTTTTTATTTATTTATTTTTTTCTAATTAAAATTCATCGCATATTTATTTGTATTAATCTAACTAATATTGATATATAACGAGTGTATTATATATGTTGTCTACTCATTTTTTTTTTTTTTTTTTTTTGCAGTTAATTAGGGATGTAATGCTTCTACGGAGATTCGTCTTCAATTTGGGTGAATGGTTTGATGAAGGAAATGCAGGTAATGTAGCTCTGTTGTTGTTGGCATGAAGGTTAAGTGATATATGTAGTCATCTTCCAAAATAGAACAGCTTAAATAGACATGAGCCTTTAATGTGAAATCTTAAATTCTCATAAAAACTGTAACTTACTGAGAAAATTCAGTGAAGAGTATCTATACATACCGCTTAGCAAATTTTAAGAATCAAAAGTGAGGATTGCCATGTGACAAATGGGTAATTATGGTTCAGTGACGGGTATCTATACATTCCGCTTAGCAAATTTAAAAAAAACTTAATACATTTAAGATTGATGATTAGATTGTTGCAGTATGGATGTTTGACTTTTTAGTCAAACAGACAAGTTTTGAACAGATATTGCATATGCCCGGCTGTAATTAATTTGAGTTGGAATCATGTATTTCTTTCATCTGAATTTGTTAGAAAATCAGGAGTTGTGCTGTATTTTGCAACTAAACAAGTGCCATGGTACTGTGGCTGTATATGACAAGGCTGTCTCAAAGAACAAAGATGATCTTAGAAATCATTGATATAAGGAAGTTGACAAATGCATATTAATTGATCAACTACTCAAACTCAAGATGATAATAATTGTGATTTACCCTTCTTTGAATCAGTTTCTCTTAAATGAATATCACAATGGACCTAAAAAGTGAGATTTTTTTTTCATTGACCTACAATATCAAGCTTATTTTTGGTACCCTAGATACTTTGTCAATGCTTGCATATTTTTTTTTACTACATGGTTTGTTAGTGATGGGTTATGGTTCTATCTCGGGTGATAAATCTAATTTCATCTATTTCATGATGTGATGTATTGGTTAATTTTTTTATGGGTCAGACTATTTTGTGGTAATATGAATTAGGATGGTTACATGTGAGATAAAGATCTACTCTTGTAGAAGCTTATTGTAGTAACTTGTTTTTATTAAGAGAAACAGTAGATGTACAGGCTTTTGATGCATGGGTAAAGAGGTGCTGAAAATGTGATGGTATCCACAAAAGTTGTGTTGCACAAGCTATCTATAAAATCCGATTCTTTTTCAATCCTTTATCACTCGCTCTATATTCTGTTATTCTTATTTAGATTCAAACATATGTTTAGTTAAAGCAGAGCTTAGCTTATTAACGAATTTAATCCACTAATTAATCATCTTGTTGCTACTTATGTCTTATTTAATTAGAGTAGAGCATGTAATTAAGTAACAAAGGTACTAATCTGTTGTGTGTAAGTAACAACTCAAAGAGCTTCTTTTCCTTAAAAAAAAAAAAAAACAACTCAAAGAGCAGGGAAGTAGTGTCAGTGTAAAAAGTCGTGCAACAATAATCAATTTATGTAAATATTTTAATATATAACTTGTATGTGTAAATTTCCTTGTATAAAAACTATTATGACTAATTTAGTGATGATGTCAAATTTTTAATTTTTCGTTTAAAGTACCAATGGCTGGAAAACATTAAAGTACATTGCTATTAATAGTTAATGTGAGTATGTTGGCATCATGGTAAAAAACTATAAGTATGTTGCTGTTTTTCCTTCTTCAAAAGATTTCCCCCTTTTTGGTGAGTTTTATGTGTAATCTGAATCGAACAAACCAGACCAAACCATATCACTTGTAATTTATTGATGAAATGATTCAAGCAGGGAATGCTCGAAGATAATGGCTAGCTGACACCACAAATCAGGCACAAAGGGAAACTTTTTTCATTTTGATCTGATGGAAACTTTCCTTATATTCTAAGGCTTATTCAATCTCATTGTCAGATTCTTGGAATTAATGTCAAACGCTATCAAGGAAGGATGGGAAAGTCAGCTAAATACAGAGCATCTTACTAGCAGGGGGTATTTTGGGTATATATGCTATTTAGTTTGTTACAGCGTACATAGTGCTTAATTATAACAGGGTATCATTATCTTTTGTCAAATCTGGTCTTAGAACCTTTGTGAGAGGCTAGGCTATCATATCTGTAGCAAAATCATTAGGGGTTTCTCTTGTATTTTAGTATCATCAATACATTCAGTGAAGCTTGTATTCCTGTTCTTGTTTGTGATTTTATATTAAAGTCAGTTCTTAGCATTCAATTTATTATATTTTCGGATAAATGCAAGAAGTAGCATCCTATTTTTATTTCTTTCAACTAAAGCATTGTACTTTCAATTATACATTCAGATAAAAGTCTATTGAGCTATATATCTAGAAGTTGCATTGTATTCGTCTAACATTACTAAATTGGGTGGATATTTCAGAGTGTAATATTGTATTTAGAAGAAACATAGGTGGCATACCAAATCGATGGAAGTTCTTAGTTAATTCGTCTATTTAACATTTACACTTTAAGTTGCTGATGATGTCTTTCAAAACGTATTTGGTAATAAACTTATAAAAACATGAAGTCTCTATGTTTATTTTGCAATTATAAAAATAATATTTTAATTACCACTTTCTTCTATGCAGTCCACGAAGCTATCAGTCCATTCAATGAATACGCATCTTCTAAAACTGATTCTTCTGGTTGCAGAGGTTATCACCAATGTTTTAAAACCCGGGTTGACCCGGCCGGTTGAACCGGTTGGACCGTGACCCGGTGTAGAAAGCGGGTCAATTGAGACCGGTTTTTTGTAAAAATACGAACCGGATCGAACCGGCCGGGTTTCCCCTAAACCGCGGTTCGACCGCCTATGTCGAACCGGTTAAAACCGGATTGACCCATTTTAATAGGGTTTGGATAGTTGGATACAAGTATCGAAGGTCAAAACAACGAGTCGTTTGCGATTTCTTTAATGTTTTTCAATGTTTAAACTTTGTGGACATCAAATTATTGGTTTTATATGTTTATGGATTATGCATGAAAATAAAAATATATAAAAATAGAAAAAGATCATAAACCGGGTTGACCCGGCGGTTCAACCGGTTGAACCGGTTGACCCGTGAACCGGTCATCACACCGGGTCAACTAAAAACCCGGGTTTTAAAACATTGGTTATCACTAACCTCAGGTTAATCCAGTCTCATGTGATTTGTAGGTATTTGATTTTGGGTTTTGGTGACACGCATATAGTTATTTTGGGGTTTGGAGCTGATGATCGTAACAGGAAACATAGAAACCTCGGTGCAGTGCCCACCCTTTTATTCACTCACACCAGGTGTTTGAAATAATGTCTCAGTAAAGTAAAGGTAGATGAGCCAAGGAGTAATGACCCACCCTTTGTTTGACACATATTAGGTGTTTGATTTTATGCCTTAATGAACATATTTGAGAAAGCTAGAATCAATTTTTATTTAGATAATGCGGACTAAATTGGTTACTGTTTTGGCATTTAATTTTCATGAGGAATGAAAATCAACTTTTTGTCATGGCTGATATATGCATTCCACACTTTTAATATCCAACTGGGAAATTGGGTTTTGATATAACACTTATCTTATATTTAACAAACGATGAACTTGATAAACAGAAAAAGAAGAGTAATATTGGGGAAATGCAAACAAACTGCCACATTCAACCACTTGCACTCAGTATATAGAAAGTTAGGTCAAAAATTTAATACCTCAAATCAGAGAAGCCAAATCTATGAAAATTGTGTAGTAGTGCAAAACCTGTGAATTTATTGATCCTCAATGCAGGATGAACTCAACTTGAATAGTTTTATGTCTTAATTGGTTAAGTAACATTGTTGTACTTTTTTTTTTTTTGTAATTCGTAACTGGATATTCTTAACTGTTACAGTTTGAAACTCTTTCAAACTTGTTGAAGACTATTGAGATGTATTCGTTTTCGTATCTCACCATGAACTCTTAAGCACAATTAATCAATCGTCACATTTCTGATGTAGAGCAATCAGGAAAACTTGCAGCAATCTCTTCTATATATTAGGAGGAAAAGATCAGGAATAAGGCTAAAGTTTAATCAGGTTTTTGCAAGTAAGTAGAGTAGCTGAAGATGGCAGAATATATTCCTTCTACTTGCTTTCATGGTATGTGCTTCAAGGATACCCAATACATATATTTCATCGACCCCTTCGATCGTATTACCATGGAATTATTTTTGTATCGCTTGATGGTCTTTATTTTGTTTCTTGATCGTTGAGTTATGTTCTTCGTGAGTAATTATTTTCACTTTCGTGGGTTTACGATTTCATGAAAACCTGTAGATTTCTCAAGTTATTCAAACACCCAAATTTTTCCAGGGTTTGTTTCTTTTCAATGTCAGTCGATGGATATTGATGGAAACGTTCATTTGATAAATATTTTACAATATGTTCTAACTTTCTATTAAAACCTTTTTCAAAGGGTTTTGAATTCGATTCTTTTGGCTTATTGATTCTATGTAGATTGTGAATATGGCTGGTACAAATGAAAATCTTCCAGATGTAATCCGCTCTACAAGAACACAACAAGGTAATTGAAACAAAGATCCACAAGTAGTAGTTCTTTCTACAGTAAATGTAGACGACCTGTTTGATAAAATGTCTGAATAACGAAAGATTCTTATAACTCTAAAACTTTGATGCTTTACAGGAGGAGGAGGAGGAGGAGGGGGATTAAAGGCAGGATGTGGGAAACCAGTGGCCCCACTTGGTCAAAACAGGAGGGCATTGAGTGATATCAACAAGAACATCATCAGAGCTCCACCAGCATATCCTTATGCTGCTAACGGATTACCAGGGTAATAAAATCAACTCATGTATCTTTCTTATTCACCCATTATTAGCCTCTGTGAACACTAATTAATCTTTTCTTTCCTCAAGTAAACATGTTGATGATATTCTCTATTATTTCTTTCTAGAAAAAAACCAATCGCTACTAAGAAACCTGTTCCAGTTCGTCGACCCATTACTAGGTCAGTAACAGGCCTATTTTTTTTCTTGAATTTGTGGATATATTGTGAACGAAAACACTCATCATTCCCAATTTTATTGTTTCTGCAGGACTATTAGTGCACAAACGACAACCAAACCATCACTTCCCTTGCCCACTGGCAAACCATCATTTCCCTTACCTGAGGTATGCACTTTTTATCTACAAGACTGGGTAAAAATGTCAATAGGGTGCATGTCAAAATAGATCATTCTCAATTAGGATGATAAAATCATAGTTTACTTCATAAATTTGAACATATGGGTTTAAAAGAGATTGTAGGAATTTGAGTACAGTTTGAGCGACTTTGAGGCCTATTTGATTTGTATTATGTTATATCTAAGTTTTTATAATGTATACATAAACTTCCTTTTGATGACAGGGTAAGAAGCCAAAAGTCCAAATTATCCCTGATGAGATTGACACTGAAGACTTGAACATCATTGATGTTGAAGATGATTTTAATGCACCGATGTTTGTTCAACATACAGAAGCTATGCTGGATGAAATTGACAAGATGGTAATTTGATTTCTCATCTTTTTTCTAATCCTTTTGTTCTTTTCTTCTTCGAAGTTGAAAATAGCTTAAAATTATTAGATCCTTATTTCAGGATGAAGATGTATACGAGGAGCCAGTTTTGGACATTGACAATGCTGATAAGGGTAATCCCTTGCTGTGGTTGAGTACATTGATGAAATTTTTGCCCACTACCGAAAACAAGAGGTATATTTAATATTTATTTATTCTTTTTTTGTCATTATGATTCTTGTTTTATGTATTCATTGATGAAAGATTTGTATTTGAATTCCCATTTCTGATTGACCAAAATTGCAGGTATTGACTTGTGTTTCACCAACATACATGTCACAACAACATGACATAACAGACAGGATGAGAGGCATTCTCATCGATTGGCTAGTTGAGGTAACAACACAATATTACACAACTATTTAGTTATATTTATTTACACCAATTGCAAAATTAGAGCAAATACTAATAATAATATGAAAACAGGTTCATTACAAATTTGAACTGATGGAAGAGACGTTATATCTAACGGTCAACCTCATTGACCGATTCCTGGAACGTCAAACCGTGTCAAGGAAGAAACTGCAGCTTGTTGGGGTGACAGCCATGCTTCTTGCATGCAAATATGAAGAAATCTCAGTCCCTGTTGTTGAGGACTTTATTGTAATTTCAGACAAGGCTTACACTAGATCCGAAGTTCTTGACATGGTAATTAGATTTAGTGATCTACCTTCTGTTACAGGCTATATAAAATATAAAGAAAGTACTTAATTATGATATTTGTTTTTGTTTGATATTTTGCAGGAGAAGGTAATGGTGAATACCCTTCAGTTCAATCTCTCGGTTCCCACTCCATATGTGTTTACTAAAAGATTTCTCAAAGCTGCACAATCTCAGAAAGAGGTTTGTTGTTCTTCTTTGTGTTCATGAAATGTTAATCTTCCATACATACACTATTCAATTTTCAAGTTTCTTTATGCTTTTGTGAAAGAATTAATGTTTTGGGAAAACAAAAGGTTCTTTTTCTTTGATTTTGGTTTTTTGTTTTTATATATATATTTTTTCTGATGTATGTGGTGTTTTTGAATGTAGTTGGAGGCATTAGCATTCTATTTGATGGATCTGTGTCTTGTGGAGTATGAAATGGTGAAATTCCCACCTTCTTTACTGGCAGCAGCTGCAGTTTTCACTGCAGAATGCACTCTCAATGGATCAAAGAAATGGACAAAAACAACTCAACTTCATTCACACTATTCTCAGCATCAACTTTTGTAAGACCTTTTCCCCCTTTTTTCAACTTGTGCTCCTATTTTTATCATTTTTGTATAAGATTCTCCTTTTTTGTTTGAAAGTAATTTAACTAAATATGATTTATTTATGTAGGGAATGCTCGAAGATGATGGTTGCTTTACACCAAAAATCAGGCACAGGGAAACTTGTTTCAGTGTTCAAGAAATATGGCACATCCAAATATGGCCATGTGGCACGAACCCAGTCTCCTGCTCACTTCATGTTGGAGCCAAGATTCTGGGATTGATTATGAAAATTTAGGAGTTTGTTGATGTTAAAGAAAAACTGAAGTTTTTGATGTCTTCAGAGCAATGTATAGTTGCTCTTAGGTTTTTTAGGAGTTCCTACAACTATTTAGACCCGTTTGTTCTATTTGTGTTTGATGATTTCTTAACTATCTGTGTTTACAATGTTTCTAAGTATTGTTTTAATGCGAGAAGTATATGTTATTATTAATGTTGTTCTTTGTTTGAACTGCATTTTTTATTGTGGCTAGTTGAATGTTTGAGGGAAGGATGGAAGGGAGGCAACACACACGGGTGTGAGGTCAATATAATCGAAACACTAGATTTATTTTGGGAACTTTTTATTTTCCAACTGAATTGAGTGTGGATTTGTGGGACACGTTTTGACTATGGTTGTAGAGGTTTGTGTTTACCAATTCGACACACACCTTTGATAGTTGGAAGTTTGGTTCCTATTTCAAACTAAATTAGCATCATTTTTATTCCCTCACACATACACAGTTTGACAAGCACCGTTAACCTCCCTCATGCATGCATGTAACGTCTTTCCACAACATAACTTGGATACACCTTTTGTTCTTAATTTTCATCAAAACAAAATTACATTCTTATTAGTTGGGTTGATTAGTCTAGCCGAGCTAAACCAACTGAATGTTTGAAATGCTACAACTTCCTGGTATACATATGTTTTAGGTTTTGGTTTGCATTTTTATTTTAGAACTTCCTGGTTCTACGATTTTGGTTTCTAGTATCAATTTTCCAGCAAGGGTTATGATAGGTTGGGTGGTGGTGGTGGAGAAGACGTTGAAGAGAACGTGGAAGGGAAAGGAGAGAGGTGGAAGGATGGTAGGGTGTGGTGGTGTAACGACCCAAAAATCAAGGGTAAAAGTTTTGTTTTTAGTATAGTTAAAACACAGATATCGTTTAATCCAAACATTCCAACAAAATTGGTAATTAAAAACAATTATTAGAGTACTTCCCAAAATCACACATTGTGGAAAACACGGGTGTGTGCGCTACGATCAAGTCGGACTTTTTCTTTCCAAACCAATGATACCTAAAACCATAAATAAAACTGTAAGCACGAAAGTTAGTGAGTTCCCCAGAGAATACTCTACATAATCACATAAATCATATCAATCACATAAGCCATGCATATAAACATATAAGGAAGTCGTGGAAACCCTCCAAGGTCTTAATTCAGGTGCCATAGGAACCCCCACATGGTCTTAACCCAACTACCATATAAACCATACATACAAACATATAAGGATGCCTTGGAAACCCTTCGGGGTTTTACTTTGGGTGTCATGGGAACCCCACATGGTCTTAGCCCAATGCATCGGGAACCCCCTGAGATATTAACTAAGGATGCCATGGAAACCCTCCAAGGTATTACACCCTAGTGCCTCAGGAACCCCCCGAGGTCTTTACTTAGGATGCTATGAACTCTTCTTTCATCTTAGCCCATGTGGTGACCGACCCGCGAGGAAGTGACTTGAGTCAATCCTTTGCAGCACCCTTGAATGTGACTGGAAGCATGCAAAGTAGCTGGGTCTCGCGTGACACATTGGGTACATTGAAGTAGTCAGCCACATCATTAACTTCATCCAAGTGCTTGTAGGCATCTTCGTGGTCTTTTCCATATAAAGAAATTTCCTTGAGTTGAGAGAGGATATGACCCTTTAGCTCGAAAGTAGCGTTAGCGGGAATTGTGTGCTGCACAAGTCCCGGGCCAGTGTCATTGCGCATCCTCTTCTTCGATTCCCCCATGGGGACTTCATCGATATTAGCCATAGTGATAGCTAAATCGTCTTCGAAATCGGATTCGTCCTCGTATGTAGGTTCTTCTTCTTCCTCGGTCTCGTACTCGGTGTCTTCTTTAATTGGGTCTTCGATTGTCAAAGAGGCACTGGATGCTCCTGATTTGCTGCTCCTCTTCTTGCTGAAAACGGATTTGAGGTTCTTTAGTGGCGAATTCTTGGAAGAAGTGGATTCTCCAACGGCTTTTCCTTTGCTCTTCCGTAATGCGGATTTCGGGTCTTCGAGAGGAGGGACCAGAGGTGTATCAGATCCCCGGTTCATGAAACAATTGTAAACAAAAGAAAAAAAATACGTGTAAAAAGAACAAAAAATAAATAAAAATTAAGACTGTGAACAGCGATGAACTCGTCGAGTCGGCACAAGTGCACTCGGCGAGTTGAAGGCAAAAACAAAAAAAACCTAATTACTTTTTTAAAAACGGATTGCTATTAAAACTTATACTAATTACTAAATTACCTAAGAATTAACTTTCTATAAGATAAATCCCACACAAAGGATCGATTGAACTAGAATTTAGTGTTAATTTAGGACCGTTCCCCGGCAACGGCATCAAAAACTTAATGTGTGTAAACTCAACTAGTTTTAAACCTACTTTTAATTATAAAATAAACACACAAAGGCAGTGGACCTATCAATTGTGGTATAGTTAAATAAGTAGGTTATCGAACACAGGGAACGGTAAATTAAAACTAAAAAACAATTTTTATCTAATTTAATTAATAAGTAAGGGTTTTCTCTAGTTTTACAAGAGTAGAAAACTTACTAACTATCACTTAAACTAAAAGCTAAAAAACAAAAACAAGAATTACTAGATTCAATAATGGGAAGGACTTCTGTTTAGTTCAACTCAATTGATCCTATGGTTGATATTATGATAATAGTGCAATGGACTATCTCTTTTGTTGGTTACTAATTCAAGTGATTAGATTCGCATTCACTACACTAACCCTTAGTGAACAAACTAACTCAAACAGTGATCAGTTGTCTAATTTAATTAAATTCACTAGATTAATTATTCGGGTTAATTTAGACTTGCAATAGTTAACTAATTTGGTCCTTTAGTTAACTACTTGTTAATGGTCATCACACAAGCTCACACATGAATTTACCTAATTTTCTTATTAGTTCTAGTTTCCTGTTCATTAATCCTAGACATATGATAAAGTGGTCACATAAACATATGAGGTTGATAATCAAAAGATGTTCATACTATTTAATTACCTTCCTATTAACAAAAAATTAATTATCATTCACACACAAGGTTCTTTAGCAAGCTAAAACTAACAAAAATCACCAACATTGAATTAATCCTACCAATAATCAAACCATAGTCTCAATTTTGTATCCCCAAACAGAAGTTTAAGAGTTTTAGCTCATGATTGAGGTAAATAACAACAAATAAACGAATTCTAATTGTCTAGCCATAATGGAAAACAAAAGATTAAGTAGAATGATGAGAATTTGGCCTCAAATCTCCTTCGGAATTGGATTCTAGTTTGTATCTTCGTTCTCTAGGGTTCTTCTGGCTCTTCAATCGCAGCTAATCTCTCCAGAAGGGTTTTTTGAATTTTTTCTGTCGATCTGAGAAGTTATCTTTATAAATGCGAACCGAATCGTCGAGTCCATTGCCGACTCGCCGAGTCCATCTCTTAATCCCTGTATGCGATAAGTCTCTGAGTCTTTAAGTCTTTATCTTCTCGAATATTCGATCGGACTCGCCGAGTAGTCGACCCTACTCGCTGAGTCGGTGTTGTTTTTGGTGGTTTTCTTCTTTGTTCAATTCCCAAGCTCCCAATTGCTTCTCCTGCTTCCTTTTGCTTCCGAGCTTCACTTTTGGACTGAAAACGTAATTCAAACACTTTTAAGTATCTTTTGTCCATGATATGCGATAATTTAGCTAATAAATGATAAAAAAAATCTATACTTAATATGAGCTAAATATGCAAATATCACATACCACATACCACATAATCAACTAGCATACCAAATAGCAAATAATGGGCTGACGTTGGTGCCTTTGACCCATTGGTATGGTGAGGAGACTCACCTCAAATGCAGAAGCTCCCCGGATGAAATCCTTAGCTACTACCCCGTCGGCTTCCCGAGCTATCAATACCACTCAATATACCCAATTAGTAATAAGGTCCCATACTATAATCCTTAATCCATACATGGGGTAAAATGATCATTCTACCCCTGGCCTAGTATGATCCAAAAGTAAGGCCCAAACCCAAAATAAAGGCCCAACATTATAATGTCCATAAATCTATTAATGGCCCAATTTTCCAAATTGGGCCCACACCTCTACATGGGTCTTGCCATGAGGCCCAATCCTTCTTTTCAGTCCAACACACTTATATTCTGATGTCCCAATAATAGTCTAAACACTTAAGCCCAAAATGCTAAAAACCACTTGTAGCCAATTGGGCTCAAATCCTTCCGGGACCTTTTCAACATCACTAACAACCCAAAACTAGATGGCCCAACAGGGCCTAAGACGTACAAGCCCAAAAGTTGGCCCACACCGAAGCCTAATACTCATAATTCCATCTGACTAAGTACGCAGGGTGTACTCAGCTGTACGCTAAGTGTACAAGCTGTTTGGCTTGCATGCCCAGTGTACTACTCCTTTAAGCCAAAGTCTCATTAAGCTCTTAATGCTCGATCCAACAAGTCCAAATCACAGATCTACGTCTAAATGAACGACTAGAACCATAAAATCACTGACTTGGTGAATTTACATACCGCAAAAAGACCAAATAGCATTCTACTTTCATGGAAATGACTCAAACTCCAACATAGATGGTATTAAACTCTAAAGGTACCAACTTTATGGACCTTGAACCTCAGAAACACTAAGAGGGGCAACTCAAAGCTCCTGGAATGAAATCAAGACCACTAGATCTCATCCTTGGGACCAAAATGAACTAAAACTCACAAATGAGAGATCTAAGATATCAATGATCAAGTTCAAAGCTTTATACCTTCATCGAGCTGACAATGAGTCCCAAAATCCAGATCCATAAGCTTTTCCTCGATCCCTATCTTTGCATCAAACTCCACCTTCTTGAAAATAGATCAAACACTCCAAAAATGGACTTCATAATCTCAAAATGCCACCATGAATGATTAAGGACGAGTTTTAGGGCTTTAGAGGGTAAGGGTTGACTTAGAATGAAGAAAGAGGCTTAACATTATGCTTATATAGGGTACAACCCTTGAATTAGGGTTTTCAACCTGACCCTCGTACACCCAGCGTACCTTCTCGTACCCCCTACGTACGAGGTTGTGCACCCCGATCCAATCCTCGCATATATGCTACGTGTTCCTCCAGCTACACCCCGCGTAGTTCCTTCTCTTCGGTACCC